CATCTTGAGCTAGCTGTGAGCAGGGTAATTATGCCAGGAAGAAAACTGGACAAAATGAAAGGCTGGATTTGTAATCTGCATAAGCAGCATTTAGGGTGGAAGCAAAGCAGAATCCCCAGCTATCTAGTTTGCTGGATTTCCAAAATAAAACATGCTGGTATGCTACAAGCAGTACTGTTCTAGACTACCGGTAAGCAAAATATTTACACTGGAAAGCCAATCTGCTGAAAAATCCAATATTAGTTTTCCCAAAATTATTCTGTGGGTGCTATTTGCCAAATTAAAACCTACCCGAAACTGTACTTGAACTGCTGAGCAATTACAGTATTCCCTGGGGAAGCTCTCCTCCGCCTGAGGGAGCGGAGCGTGCACATCCCAGGAGGATGCTCTCAGCACTGCTGGAGGGGGAGCCGAGACCTTCAGCCTCTCCAGCTGATTCTGCCCCACTGCACACAACAGTTAAATACTCGCCGCTGCTGGCGCCGCAAGCTCGGCTTCTCGCCTCCAGGTGGACGCCCTAGCTGCAGACCGGACAGTCAGTCAAGTGCCATCTTTTGCAGTCTGGCTCCCTAGATGGTGTTATATACAATGCGATGTAGCACCATCAGGGAGAAAGGAGCGTGTCCTCCCCTGGTCCCAAAATACTCCCTTGTGGTAACTTCAGAAGAGATGGGGGTCAACACCTTCCCTGGGAGTACAGCCCTTCCTTCCCTTTATTTTCCTTGCAAGCACCTAGACAAGGGCACTGGCTTTAAGTCTTAAAAGAACTTCCCTGTGACTCATCATGATCGAGGATGCAAACCATTTCAAGTTCATCCCCTAGTTTAGACATCCTACAAAAACCTTCTGTTAGAAACACTGCGACTGTAGGAGAGGAGACCTATGACACCTTCAGCTCTAACAGTAGAAGAGATGAAGATCATTCACGTATTGTGTTTGCAACGCGAGTGCAAGACCAGGTACGTGCTGCTGGCTGCTCTGACTACACAAACTGGAAAGCTGATCCCCCAGTGCAGACGTTGCAGCAGAAACACTAAATCCTCCCATCTCCAGGAAGCAGCGTGAGAGGGAGAGTGCCTGCAGAAACCTAGTGATCAGCAGCACAGCATTAGCCACGCTAAGCTGCATAACCCCCGTCTTGCCTCGCTGGAAGTCAGAAGGAACGCTGAAATACAACAGGTATTTGCTCGGTTCAGGAGCAGGCACCAAACTGACAGCTCGAGAAACAGCAGATCAGCCCCTCCGGTGATGCAAACTGTGAGAGCTGTACCTAAGTCAACACAGCTGTGCACACAGATCTGGTCTCTACTTCCAGGCAGATGGTCTGCTCAGCCAGGGTCTGCACCATAGCTGCGTAGACTCCACTACACTGCCCGAGCTGCATAACCTCGTATTGTGAAAATGAGGCACCAAAAGACCTTCTCCTAGCCACAGCTAGTGGTTACTGACTGCTAATATTAACCAGAACAGCCATGTTATTATGTTATTTAGCATCTCTGCAGAATGAATTGAAATTCCATCACAAAGTTCATGTTTGATCACTAAGCTTTGAAAGTATAAAACAGAGCTCCCAACACACCTAATTCAGTGACAGAATAAAATGTGTGAATACGAATATAAAGTTTACGGCTTTACAGCAAAACCCACCTTGAATAATCCGAGATGAGAACGACACCCAATACGAGCCCCGCAGTACGTGCAGAAGTACACGTCTTTCCAGCTGCCGTTGGAAGCAGCGGGGTCTGAGGGTTACTGATGGTTAGGACTCAGCTATACGTATTTTGCGGTCCTACTCAAAACGTAGTCAGGATACGACAGCATAAGGCTGTAGGGCATACGAAGAACGGTATAATAGTAGCATGATCGTTGTAAAAGGGCCTGTTAATGTTTCCAGTGTGCTTCAAGTACCTCTGTCAACCAGTAATCACAGCAGAAACAGAAGACCTGTCACTGCTGTCCTCACCCTGTAAGCCCCCCTCAGTCAGGTCGCCTTGTGGCGAGGGGAGCTTTGCCCGCTGCTGCTGCACCAAATCTAGGAAGTCAATGCATAACGTTCTGTATGCAAAATCTTAGAAACAGGCTGGCATTAAACAGGGCTCGCTGCAGTGAGGCTGATGCTTTATACAAGTGTGGTTGTTTGGGCTTTCTTTGAATTCACAAGTCGAGGCACAGCAGCGGAAAGATCCCCAAACGATAGTGGTTGTTTTCACGTCAAACCTGTGAAAACAGATCATACGCCAGAGCAGCAGCACGTCCCAGGGACGCGCTCACGATGCAAAGCAGGTTTTGCTAAAGCCTCCAGAACTACGTCAAACGCTGGCAGACCGGGGCTGACATTCGCTCTTGCAGCAAAGCCCCAAAACGGCCTTCCTTGCCTGACCGCGCTTTCCTGTAGGAAAACTTGAGCTGGTCTGCTCCACCAGAAGACAGACCTGTTCCCCAAAAGCCCTCTAGTGGAAAGCAGGAATTACTGGAGAAAGAAGTTCCTTTTCTGGTAGAATTAAACCACCCCCCAACTAACATACGGTACCTCGGGAAAAGGGCTCTTCTGCGGGTATAAGCCGGGTGCCCTGCAGAGCTGGGGTTTGCCCCCGCGGCCAAGGTGCCGAATGAGGCAATTTCACTGCGCGTGTCACGCCGGTGACGCTGCGCAGCGCCAACCGGGAGTCTGCCACGTCTCCTGGTGGGGCTGAACTTCGTCTCCTGTCAGTGCTTCACCTGGGCAGATTCCTGTAATTCCATTGATTTAGGCCCCAGCCCAGCATAACATTTAAAAATGCCATTATATTAAGCATTTGATTAATTTAATTTCAGTAAAATTAAATTAATTTCAGACTTTTCCAGCCTTAAAGCCGTACATACGCTCAGAGGTTGGATGGGTTGGAATCTAACAGATGCACAAGCTATTGGGGTGAGAAAACATCTCCAGACATCAGTATTTCCAAATTTCAGTGTTACACTGCTAGCCTCTGTGCCAACACATGCAAACACCTAAACTGGATGTCGCTTTCTGCACGTTTCAGTGAAGCTTTAATAGCAGTGAAGTTTTTACTACAGCCTCGTTAGAAGGTTTACTAGAGTGCTATGAACCCTCACAAAAAAATTAATGCCAAAATGAGGTGCATAAAATCATCGATACATTATGATATATAAACATTGCATGTTTAATATGCTTTCTGCTTACTAATTCACAGAATTTGCTGAACGCTGTATCTCTTCCAATTTTACAGTGAGTCAGAGGGACCGAACAATTGTTCAATATCTCTTCAGACAAACAGCTTTGCACACACTTGTTTGGCTGGTAAAATACGTCAGACAACAGGTCTCCCCTGAAAAGACTGTGGGGAAAAAAAACAACTCAAAGAAACGGCATTGTGGCTCCTCACGATTTTCTTATTCAAAATTCACAAAACCACTGTGCGACTGCGTCCTGCCAACACGCTAAGAAGCCCCAGAAAACGTCTGTTAACCGCAAAAGCATTTCAGCTGTTCGTTTTCACATCTCACCGAGCTGAAGGACCACCCCAACGCCGTAACAACTTGAAACACTTAACTTTCCCTTCCTGAATTTCTGCATACCAGAACTATTTGCAGCTACTGCCGATCCTTCACAGAAGGATCTTCTGCCAGCAACTAGGTGTCCTCCTCCCCGAGGAGACAGGCGTGCCTGGGGGCTGGGCAGACTGCGGTTGTCCTCACGGTTCCACCCTCCCAGCTGGGCCAGGGAGCCCGAGAGCGCAGGAGGACGGCGGCGGCGGCAGGGCCGGC